TGTGTTGATTTTGACAGGGGCTGGCTCCTCACCTATCCAAATTCTGGGGGTTCTGACTCTCTCAAGTTCTAAGGAAGCCAAAAAAGCTGCCTATGCCTTTCTGCAAGCAATTTGGGGAAGGCTAGACAGGCCAGTCATGGAGGTTCTTATGAGGCAGGTCTACATTTGTGTTGCTTACAAAAAGGATTTTTTGGGGGTGACAAAGTCAAAAGTCTGGAGTCCTGAAAACCAGAATTAATGCGGCTGTAAAGGAGGGCCCAGAGAGTTCCTTTAACACCATGTCCCATAAGCTAGGCCTCTTTGGGAAGATGACCTTAGAGGACACAGTGTCTGCCAGCGCTTGACCTGGGGCCTCTCAGTCTCCAGGGCTGTGGTAGGAAATGTGTGCGGTGTATCAGCGCCTCTGCTCATCATAGCAGTTAATACATCCCATAGCTTGCTTGCTCCTATTATCATCTCCATGAAGGAACTCAGGCCCAGAGAGGTGAGGTCATCAGTCACACAGCTAACACAGTGGTGGGGCAGGATTTGAACCCGTGCTGTATCAAGTACCTCCCCCAGCTACTGTCTTGAGGCTGTAGTAATGCTCCTGGGCCTTGACGGATTAGAATACAGCTTGGGGTTGGGGTTCTGGGCTTCCTGCTGCTGCCAGCTTTGCCCCTTCGGCTCCTAGGTTTCTACCAAAGGAAAGGTGTTGTGGAGAGCAGTCTTTCTCAATGGCTAGAGCATCTTTCAGTCAGTTTTCCCAGCAGCCCACAGGCATGGCTTTATGCAGAGGCCACCTGGGTAGGGTATGTGGGGATCAGCATGGGAGGTTTAGGGGTTACCAGCAATGCTAGGGGCTCTGGTTTGTGGAAGTGATGCTTCTTGGGGCATGCTCTCCTGGGCTGGGCTGGCATCCTGAAAGCAATCCCCAGCTCTGCGTTTGCCCGAGGCAAGAAAATTAACCTTACCGAGGGAAGAAATGAGCTTAGATGCTTAGAAAACATGAAGTATCCTCATAGCAACAAGCTGCCTTTTCCTATTTTTGAAAAATTTTTTAATAAACCACATAAAAGGTACACACAGACTCCTTGAAAAATACATGGAAAAACCTCCGTCTTATGCCCATTTTGAGTGGGGACCAAGGGCCATGGGCCAGGGCAGCTCATCTGTAGCCTTTAAAAGGCTCTGGACTGGCTGGCATTCGGGAACCACACTGCACGTCACAGGCGAACTTCCAAATGTCCCTTACGTCAGCAGCAAAGGTGTGTTCTTACACACGGGTGGGAAAGGGCTTAAAAACGTAGGCCGCCCTGAGTTCTAATGAATGCTAAATTATTCACTCTGTCCCTGAGATTTTGGATCATTCTGTTTCTGAAGACACGAGTCTCTGTTGACTCAACTAGCAGACACTGAATCAGAGACATCCATTAACTTGAAACTTGATTTTACCATTTCCTCTTGTGTTCTGGCCTCAGTAGTTTTAAAGTAGCTTTTAGGGTCTGGGTCCAGCCTGTGGACTCTGTTCTGGGCTCCTGGGGTCAGGGCTTGGGACAGCCTGGGCATCTGCAGGATTGTTCACATGGGGAAAATAGAGGCAGCTTTGCCACACTGAGGCTGTGCCATCGGGGAACTGACTTCACTGTGCTTTTTCTAATGCAGGGATAGAACTGGTTTCTGTGCCTGTATTAGAGAGAAGAATGGAGGGAGGGGCAAGGAGGGGCGATGAATGGAGTCTGATTCCAAAGGGCAACGCCGGGACCCCAGTCTCAGCTGCTGCAGCTCCTCTCCGCTTCCACCAGCGACAGCTGAGTGGGCCTCCTCTTCCTCAAGGAAGGCCTTGCCCTCCCTGGAACCGTGAGCCCCAAGTGAAATGCTTTCTTTTAGAACAGTTCCTGAGACAGGGGGTGATGGTAGGGAGTGAGGCTGCTGGGCTGGGCCTGACCTTGTGGGATTATGGAGGAATGTGGAAAAACTTGGGACTTTGGACTAAAAGGTGGTTGAAATCTGTTAGCGGAACTTACTGGGCCAGCCTTTTGGGACCGGGGAAGATAATAGTGCAAAGTGGAGGCCCAGTTCAAGATGCTTCAGAGGGGAAGAAATATTAGCAACCAGGTTAGAGGTCATTCTTGTGATAATTTTGGCAAAGAATATGTGGCTGTTTCTTGTTTGTTTGTTGTTTGTTTTTTTGTTTTGTTTTTCTTTCTTTCTCTTATCTTAAGAATCTGCCTGAGGCTAAATTGAAGAGTTTTGAAGTAATTTTATTGGCAGAAATTTCAAGACAGCCTAGTATTGACTGTTTCCTGCGGTTATTACTGATCACTCTATGCAGAGATACAATGAAAAAGAGCAAGCAGGGCAAAAAGAAATACTGCGTGCACAGTTTGATGAGAAGAAGGGCAGACAGCGTAATTTTGGAGCCACGTCCTGTGCACAGGAGTTAAGAAGTTTCAAGATAGGTAGGATGCTAAAGGGAGTGGTGCCCCAGGGCAAGACCCCAGGCAACTAAGCTTCCAACGTGTAAACTGGCAACTCCTGAGGAATCTTAGGCTCCTTAAGGAGGAGGGAATCTTATTCAACAAAGGAAAGCATCAACAAATCAAAGCATACAAAACGTAGTTCAAGGAGGGGCCCAGGCTCCACCTAAACGCGGCAGGGCCTGGCAGCTTTGTGCCTGTGGTTCTGACTTCAGAGTCATGAAGGGACAAGAATAAAGGCGTTGTGTAAAGGCCAGGTGTTGGGGTGTCCTTCACGGAGCCCAGACAGACCATTGCATGAAGGTGAAGGTGAATCCTGGATTATGAACCCCCAAGATGTTGGAGATGCCAGAGCTGTGGGGTACCTGTGTGGAACAGCCCGAGAGGGAGGAGTGCTGCAGTCGGCCAGGCTGGACGAGAGGAGCCATCTGAACTCTCTGACAGTGGAGGGGAATCTACAGGATTTGGAGTTTGGGTTTTGGTTTTGCTTTGGTTTAGTAGTTCCTCACTATGCTCCCTTTCTTTCCTTTTAGAATGGTAATTTTTATTTTGTGTCATTGTATGTGACCTGCGTTTTTGAATTTATAAGGGGCTATAGTTAAGAACCTGCCTTGGAACCTATAAAGGTGTTGAGCCTGGTTGACTACAGACACTTGTGAAGGCATACTGAATGCGTTTTGCATACTGATAGGGATACAAGCCTGTGGGACCAGGGTTGTGGAATGCGGTGTTTGGATGAGAATGGCCAGTCCCTTGCCTTCTCTGGGTGCAGTTGCTATCTGTAAAGGAGAACTCTGAACCAGAGGTCTAGCGGAGGGGAGGAGAGAGAGAAGGTAACCCACAGGAAATGACTTAACCACTCTGGTTCAAGCAGTTACCTGTGAGGTGGAGAGGTTAGAGCAGCCGCCTTCTGTGTGCTGCTGTCACTGGCTTGCCCACTGGGTCAGGCGGTGCTATAGTTTGTCCCCTTTGGGCAGGCACTGTGAGCTTCATCCCAGTGAGGAGGGGTAGGGCCTCTAAGGGATGATTCTGTCTTAAGTGTTCAGTGTTCCTGCAGACTAACGCTATTGCTGCTGAGAGGCTGAGCTCAGCCCCCTCCTCTCTGCTCCTATGTGGCCTCCTGTTTCCCACCATGGACAGCAGGAAGTCCACCAGACACCAGCTTCCGGGCCTCTTCCCACCTCCAGAACCCAGAGCCACATAACCTCCTCTTGCTTACGAACCACCTGGCCCTGGATGTCTAGCTATCGCTGCAAAGACAAAGACAGGCGGTGAGAGATACCGTCCAACTGCTCAAGACATTGAGGCTAGGCTGAGGTGGTACCGCCTCCTGTCTCTGCCTCTGTCCTCACCCCGCTCTCCTCCTCCTCCTGCCTCCGTTCTTCTCTCCTCTTTCCCACATTCCTTCCTCTCCTCTCTCCTCCCCTTCCTCTTTTTTCTCCCTCCATTACCTCACCCCTGTTTCTTTCCCTTCTTTCTCTCCTCATCTGTAAGTGGTTTCAGGCAGCATGACTTCGCAGCCTGACAGACTTCAGCTCCGTCTCAGCTGCCTGCGAACAACTTCCTGTCTATGTCGTCAGCGACCTGGAGCCATTCTTCTAGCCATGCTGCAGCCGTCATGACGATGCATGACGGTTGATGACATTCTCAACGGAAACACTTAAAGTGGGCCGCACACACCACCAAGGACTGCTCTGTCTTTCATCTGGAAGTCAAGCACTGGGATCCAGTGTGGCGGGGCTCTCTCTGCCATCTACTAGCTGGGTGACGTCGGGCAAGAGACGCAACCGTTCTGTGCCCCAATGTCCTTACCAATAAACAAGGGTAATAAAAATACCTGTCCACCATCACCGCTGTGGGGAGGAACAAGCGCCAAGTACCCAGTACCCTGCCTGATTCCTGGCTACTTCAGTAATTCTGTTGCTGTTGGTGATGACGTAGCTGATTGCCTAGGTACTATATTAGGCGCTGGGAACAGACTAGGGAAGAAAGCTGCCCAGGGAGTTTCTAGTCCAAACAAGAGATACCCAGCAGGCAGGCCAGCATGGTACCTGTCAGTCAGTGCCTGCTGTGTCAGAGACCAGAGCAGTCTGTTCCTGACCTGGGAGGCTCCCTTGAGTGAGGAATCAGCCACGAAGAAGGAGCTGGAAACCACCTGGCCACAATAGGGGAGGCACGGGGAGTGGGGGTGGGGGTGGGGATGGGGGGTGGGCTGAGGTTTGCAGCAGTCTGTAGAGGGGGCAGAGATAACCGGCCACGTGCGCAGGTCTTCAGGTTGGTCAGGACTCACTTCTGCAGCAGACAGTCTCAAGGCTCCAGCTGCGGATCCAGCTGCGCTCCCAGCCAAGGGGCGGGTCATCCGTAGTGGGCCGCTACCACCCAGGAGCCAAGCCCGGCTGGCAGGCACAGCCTCCTCTAGCGGCCCCACTCCGCACAGCTGGCGCCCCCGCCCTCCCCAGGCTGCTTCCTGCTCCTCCCTCCTCTCCCCGCTCCAGCTGTTTCTCTGGCTGAGTTCTGTCCCTGTCCCACACAGAACTCTGGACGGAGGGAGGCTCTTAGGAAGCTCTTGCTGGGGGCCGTGCTCCTCGGCGCTCAGCGGAAATCTTACGTGAATGGAAGAAATGCTTCCAAGAAAACAGCCACTATCAGAACAGCTGTGTGACCAGGAGGAAGAGGCCAGGGTTCGGGTCCCCAGACCCTGAAGCAGAGGGAGCCCAAGGGGAGACTGGAGACAAGGTACTGCGCTTGGTTCTGAGACCTGCAGAGGGCGGGAAGGGGCGCGCTGGCAGGGACCGGAGCACCTCTCCGGTGTGTGTCAAAGGAAAAGTTCCTAGCATTCAATCAGACCTGAAGAGCCAATAGACGCTGGTGGCTGTGAAAACCAGCGTGGCCACGGCAGGTCCATCTGTGAGGGCAGATCCTTCCCCGAATCCAGCTTGAAGCCGACTCGTGCCTCCCCACAGACCAGCTCCTTCAGGCTGTCTGTGTTCTCCAGTGGACAGTTCCGTGGCTGCCGGCAAAGGTTGTCTCCGGATGGATGTAACTGCAGCTGGGTCCACTTCTCTTTTTGCTTTTATCATTAGGAACGAGCAGCGCTGCAACGAACACTTTATGGAATAGTTGTGCTTTGTGTATCGGTCCTGTAGACATATTTCCATAGGTGCCTGTGTGTGTCTGTGTGTCTATGTCTGTGTGACGTCCAGATGTGCACGCAGAGGGAGAACGTGGGGTGCCTTCCTCTCTGGTTATCCATAAGCCTCAGGGCAATGTCTCTCATAGACCCAGAAGCTGGCCACCTCGGAGCTCCAGGCATTTGCCTGTCTCTGTCCCCCACCATTCCCAGCTTTTTACACAGGTGATGGGGATTCGAACTCAAGCTTGCACAGTGTTCACTCTTACCCAAGAGCCATCTCCCCACGCCTTTACTATCTACTTAAACAAAAAAAAAAAAAAAAAAAAAAAAAAAAAGAATGATAGGTTTACTCTGGGTGGTGGTGTCACACGCCTTTGCGGGAGGATCCCTGTGAGTTCGAGGCCAGCGTGGTTTACAGAGTGGGTTCCAGGAACAGCCAGGGCTACGCAGAGAAACCCTGTCTTGAAAACATTATTTTATCTTTAATTGCATATACGTGTGTCAGTCTCTATGTGGGTTTGTATGTGTGACTGCAGGTGCCTGAGACAAGGACTGTCTACTTCCCCTGGGGCTGGAATTACAGATGGCTGTGAACCATCGTGTCAATGCCGGTTTCGAACCTGGGTCTTCTGAAAAATCAGCTGATACTCTTAACCACCGGGCCATCCTCCAGCCCCTCACTACCCCTTTTTTTTAAAAAGACATGTGAACTGTCTGGCAGTTTCCGCCTGCTGACACTCCTCATGGCACACTACAGGGGGGCGGTAGATAGCCTCGAAGCTTCCCCCACGCCACAGCTGCCTGCGTCCTACCGGAGAGGCCTCCACTCGAGTCTCTTGGTTTGTTTTTGAGGCAAGTTCTCCCACTGGTCAGCCTAAGCCGTCTGGCCAGGGAACCCCGTAGATCTTCCTGCCTTTACCTCCCCAGGCTATCATGCTGGGATTGCAGTCTGTGCTACTACGCCGGCTTTTTTGTGGCTCCTGGGTATCTGAGCTCAAGTTCTCACACTGGCAGAGCAAGACGCCTCTTACCCACTGAGTCATCTCCCTGGCCCCTTTGTGGCATTATTGATGCTGGTTTTTCATGTGGCTCACTTGCTATCTCTGACTCTTTTGTGTAAATTTGTCCCCCCACCCTTGTTCATGCTTTCTTATTGATATCTAAAAGTTCTTTGTACATGGAAGACAGGAGCTTGTTGGCCGGAGCTCTCTGTTAAAGCATCACGGCCTCTCTGCTTCCACCCTAAGGCATTTAAGACTAGGGAGCCTGGTACAGATAATCCCCCGGGAGCGGCTACTTGAGAGTTTGATGGTCCTGTGTATGTGGTTCAGAGAGGGCAGGTCACAGATCTGAGGTCACACAGTGAGGAAGTGGTGGAGGAGGTCTTGTGTTTGCTCTGCAGCTTAAGAAAGCCTCAATTTCTCTGTCTTTCCCTCCTTCCCCTTTTAAAGCGGATCTGTGGTTTTGCAGCTCGATGCCTGGTTCACAGGCTGCGGTAGAGGCTGGCTCAACATTCTCTTCTGAAAGGCTTTGCTTGAGCCTGTGAGGTGTCGGGCACATGGGAGGTGGGGTGTTATCTCCGAGAGCCAGGGGCGGTGGCTCGGGACTCCCCCAGCTTCTGAGGAGTAGATGAACCCCACACAGGCTCCACCTAGTGGAGAAGTCTCTGCACCCCCACCACAACTGCTCCCCCGCTGTTTTGTAACTGTCAACCATCATATCTGTCTCCTGGTAACCTGGGGCTCTCTGAGGCTACAGCCCATTGTTCTGTCCTGGGTCTCCATCCCCTGCCTAAGAGCTTATGTGCAGGACAGTGTCCATTGGGCCCATGGAGAAGCTGGGCCCCAGTTTTACCATCTGCAGAATGGGCTGGGAGAGTGGAGACTGTAGTCCTGCTTCTTAGATTATGAACAATAGTTTGAGGTGGCTTTTTAAGACTCTTTATCGTACCAACATGATGAGGGTTCTAGAAACGACTCCAGCTTGCAGTTTAGAAATCTGAGGCCTTGGAAGGGTTCCAAGGATAGACCTCCATAGACTCCATAGGGCTCCGAAGCTCCAGAGCTGGGTTTGTGCCTCAGTCTCCACATCTGTAAGGTAGGGCTACCCCGGAGGATTTTCACAAAGGTGAAATGAGATAGAGCCTGGCAATGCTTAGCAGACGGTGATCTGCTAGGCTCTGAATGTTACTTCTTATGTCCATGGCGCTCAGCTCCTGCCTGTGTCCTCCGTCTGAACCACATAGAAGCCAATATGGCATGTGTATGTATGAGTGTGTGAGACGGGGGAGAGGGGTGGCCAGAGTGTGACACCAGCTGTCTTCCTCTGTTGCTGGCCACCTTACTGCTGTGGGGCAGGGTCTCTAGCTGAACTGCCAGCTCACTGTTTCTGCTACAGGTTGGCCACCAGGCTCCCATAATGTATGTGTCTTCACCCCCAAATGCTGGGGTTACAGGCACGCACGCTCATGCCCAGCTTTTAACATAGGAATTTGAACTCAGGTCCTCATGCTTGCCCAGCAAGCTCTCATGCCCAAGCCATGTCCCCAGCCCTCATGGGCGTTTCTTAGAACTTCGGTGCTTGTGAACCAGGCTCTTTGAGGGTGAGCCTAGGGCGTCTATGTGCTAGATGGGCTCTTCAGGGCCTTTCACACTTGAGAAAGGCTGACTGGAACACTCGAGTGTTTTTCTGTTTTGCCCTCTGTCCAGGTTCCAGGCTCTGCTGTGCACTTGAGTTTCTTTTTCCTTCCTAAGCAAATATCCAACCTCTGTGGAGCCGCATATTCTGTGTCAGCAGCTGAGGCTAGGAGCTGCGTGGAGAAGTGAAACTCTGTCTCATGGGACACAGCATGTCCCATCGCACTGGTTACTCCTGGATAGGGGCTTTGCCGTCACTTTAGGCTACGGAGTCCGTTTATCAAAATAAAACAGACAGAAAGATGGGACCTGAAAACCAGTGCAAACACAGCAGTTCCTCCCGGAAACAAGGGCAGCCCACCAGACTCCCTCCGAGAGGCTCTGCAGAGTGGGCTGCCAACTGCGGACCTACTCCAAAGTCTCGAGAGATGAATGTTCTAGATGTTTGCTGGACTTTTGCAATCGCAGGAGAGGCCTTCCTATTCTCCTTCTATCATTGTGTTCCCTCAGTAGGCACGTGCTGCTTGCGTGAGCACACTTACTGTCACAAACATGAAAAAGGCGAACAGTTCTTTTTATCTCTCTCTTCACTTATTTATTTTAATTTTTTTTCCTCACAAGTCTTTTATCATGTCTCTCAGGCTGTCTCTAAATTCCCAGGTTCAAGCAGTCCTCCTGCCTCAGCCCTGGTGATTCAGTGACCCAGCTTGGAGTCCCATTCTCCCTCTGGTGACATCTCTGTGGGCCCAGTGGTAGTTGGGAAAGTGTGAAGGTGAACACTGGGCCTTGGCTGGGAAGCACTGTGCATTTCTTTTGGCATATGAAAGCAAGCCCAGTGTGTTGCAAAGAATGCTGGGATTTGTAGTCTGGTATGTTGCAAAGGTTGCTGGGATTCAGCATTTTGGTGTGGGCAGCTCTTGCCCAGCCATAGCTGTGTCTGGGTCAGAAGATGAGACCTTCACAGACAGCTAACTGTCCTTGCCACAAATGTGGTGGCTCCCTCTGCTCTCTTCCCATCTTTATTTGTTCTCACAGTGATGTCCAACCACAGTGCTCACAGCAACTCCCGGTTCTGGACTTCTAAAAGGCAGATCCTTCCAGAATGTAGGCAATGGCCGTTCTTGTTCCCTTCTAGAAAAAAGAAACAGGGTAATCATGTGACTCTTCACTGTGTTTAAGAGTGGGACATTTTCACATCCACACTCTCGTCACCTCTTCCCATACCCCGTGTCCAAAGGCCCCAGCTTAGGACAACCACTTGCAGGTAAGGAAGAGTTAAGAGAGGGAAAGTGACTCGCTCACACAGCTCCCAAGAACTGCGATCTGAACTCAGGAAGCCTCACTGTATCCAATGGTCCCACTGCACATCGGGTCACTCAAGAATGTGTGTGCATATGTGCCTGTGTGTGCCTGTGTGTGTGCGAGTGTGGCTAGGGTGGGAATGTCTTTGGCTGAACTTCCTCAGGGCTCAGCTCAGGACCGTTGTCTGACTGCCCAGTACGACTGTCCCAGACACTGGTCACGCAGAGATGGGACAGTGCAGGGAGGCGTCGTGGCTGGGCTGGGCTCATGGTGGTGCTGGGGGTGAAGTGAGGAAGCCCTGGAAGGCTGAGAAGCCAGAGTGAGTCAGGCCCAGTTCCTGTCCTTCAGCCCCTCCGGGATGGGGAACAGACTTTTGTTCATTCACTCAACAAGCTTTTATCAGTACGCACTCTGTGACAGATGGAGCAAAGCAAGATTCTCCCCCCTAGGAGCCTCCAGGAGGCAGTTACACCATGCCCAGTGAGGTTCTCAGGGCTGAGTGACATTCCAGGGACTCTTGATGGGGTGTTTCCCACAGGCTGGATCTTTCTGTGCTATCTCTAAGGGGGAGCCCTAAGCCAGCCCAGGGATGCAGAGAAAGGGCTTTGTGCTGCTTCTGGACTCGGGGACCTTGTGCTGTTTCTGGTTTTAGGCAACAGTGGGAA